GGAAGTGGTGATATCGATCTTAGTGGCCGGCCGCACCCCAGACAGCAGCCTCAAAAGTTAGAAGATCCGCGATTGCAAGTTCTACTGGATGAAGACTGGGCGTAAACGCATTAGGAGCTTCCAGCAGGAGTCACCCAAACAGCGCTTTCACCACCAAATGGGGAAATTCACTAACGTGGAAGTTGGGTCCCCCACATGTGTTGACTGAACACAACCTCCTAGATCAACGAATGAACACATGCCTTCACTGTTTGCCCACCGGCGACAAGCAGTGAATTGACTCTCTGTGGAAACTTGTGATGTGTGATGAAAAGAAGAATCGTTATGAAAATCCAGGGTGTCTAAATTCGTGGGTAGATCCCGGCCAACCCAGCAGTACATCGACGTCGAAGTGGGACATCCACTTGAAGAAGGTTCTCCTATGTATGTGGTAAGGGTACGTGAAGGGTGTACTGTTGAGGGCTCCGGCATGTTGCCTAGATCCACGCCGGGCCACTGCGACAGTCTAAGGCCGGATACGTTACCCTGTGTTCCCACGACAATAAAGAAGACCGGAGTGGAGAAGGCACAACCGTTTACTAGACATGGATTGAGTGGACATGTACAAAAATAAACACAGGTGTCTGTGAGGTCGCAGGGCCAAAGTGGGTGGTTGTGGGACATGCAGAGTGGTTAATGAACCAGTGGCATCACGTGACTGACGGGCAGGTCGTAAAAAGGGGGGGGGGATGTGTGCTGGAAGCTGCGAGGACTAGGTCATTGGACATGAATCAACACAAATCCCTACAGTACTTTATTACAAAGTCCTGAAAACTGGTCGCCGGACGGTGACTGTGGAAGACTACAGCCGATTGTCTCCATCTAAGAACTGGTAAACACCGAAGCTCCGAACAGGCGGACGACAACGATGCTAAATACGACTTCTTCCAAGTTTGGGAAAACGTTGTCGTAAAACGATTGGAGCTCTATGAAGTTTTAGGAGACTTCACGGTGTTGGCAATCAGACGGGCTGTGTGCAGATTCTGGAATTTCACAAGTCTCTTCTACCCGTAGAACGGGATGTGGTAGAAGTTATTGAAACACCTCTGTAGTGTCCAGCGTTGTCAAGTTCTACCTGGAATACACAAACTAGAGGAGCCGTAGTTATCGTCGGATTATAAGAAATGGATGGTCACAAGACGTGGTTAACTGGTGTATTCTAACCTCGAAACGCAGCTATTTTTTTCAATCAAAGAGGCTTCGCTGGACACGTCATTGACCAAGCCTAATCGTCCAGCGCGACGTGGTCGTCAGCTGGAACAGGTTACGTGAAGCTGGTCGTAAACATCTGCTCGTATTGTCCCTTTTCACGCGTGAGGCGGGATTCCGTGTGGGGATTTGCTTCACTTGACCTGTTTCGAATTGAGAGCCTGGCTTCAGTCTAGTCTAAGCGCTGTCAACGACTACTGGATTCGTCTTTGGCACAAGCGCGCCAGTCGGTGTGCTGTGGACGCGTCCCACCGACCGCAACTGCGGGCAGCCGCACGTGAGGCTGCCTGTGTGACGTCAGGGAGAGAGCGATGGAGAGAGAGAGAGAGTGGCAGTGGTACGCGCTTCTTTTTTTTCAAACTTCGCGCACGTGCGTTCGACGCACGTGAGGCTCGCCATCTTGGTGTTCGTGATTGGCGGCGGCGGCGGTGGCGGTGGCGTTTAAACGCGGTCCACCTCACAAGCACATGCCCACTTGCCCCGTGTGTGTGTGTTTGTGCAGACCTTGACCCAGATGTGCGCCCCTTGTGTGAATGTGTGCCGCGCGCACTTCAGTCGCCTGGGCTTCGTGTCACATGTTAGGCAAAAAAGCAGACGGCTACCAATTTCTTAACTCAAAGTAGATGGGATTTGTCTAATCCTTAGGGCTAATGCCTGCGAAAAGGCGCATTCTATCGCGATAAACAAAAGTTCCTTTTCCTCAAGCCCGCAACCAGAATTAATGGTTTTCGCAGCACCTGCTGATGTAGCCGTAGTGACCAAACTGGTTTGAGCACGTCTTTGCCCTGGAACGTGTTTCCTCGTATTCAGCAAGTATGACCATCGAATGCTGCTTGTCATTCGACGTCGGCGACTATGAGAATCGGGCGTGATTGTGGAAATCGGGTCACACTGATCCCGTAGCGACGCATTCAGGAGACAATGTTATTGTTATTGTCTGGAAATGATTTTAATTAGTGTGGAATTTCTTCTAGCTTCTGAGCAAATTTGGTTAGGCAAGGAGATTCAATGCACCATCCAAATCTGCCTGTTCAAACTAGAGGCGATCGCCAGTCTACTTGCGCTTTTATCTCCCCCTCTAGTGTCTTCTCGGCGTTCTTCTCTCGTGGTGGACGTTAACAGCAGCAGCATCAGTGGCAGCAATACTTCCTCATATCAGGCGAGATCTTCATTACCCACCAGGGGCGATAGTTTTCGACCGAAGGGAAACTTCTCATCGCCACCGCCTCCTCCTCCACCGCCTCCTCCACTCAACCGCTATCCTTCGCATCACTCTGAGGCGGGTCGTCGCTACTCGGTGTTCGGTGCACCCTCGGGCCTGTCTTTAGCCGCGAGAGGCGACTTTGAGCATGCAGTCGCGGAGCCGGCTAGTGGTTCGACGGCGTACGTTGCCCGCCGACACTCGTCGGTTCTCTCTACAGCGCGCTACGCGTCTTCCTCGGTGTCCGACTCCTCTTTCCGTCCTCCACACGAAAAGAGGGTACGATTTTGTCTCGTCTTGGCCTATCTAAAATCCCATAAGATTTCGGTGCAAGTTAGAATTTCCCCTGTTTTCCCGAATTTTTTGGAGTTCCTGTAACTCAGACGTTGCCCTGATGTCATGCCATCCCCTAGGCCTACAACCAACCGCAGTTTCCGGTGAAGCGTGTGCCGATTGAGAGTTCACCGTTGTTTGAAAGTGGTGGGCTTGCGGAAAGTCGGCCCCTCTCGGCCCCCGACGACAAGATTCCAAACTTCTCGGCACCGCACCACCGGTCGTCGCCGGTGAAAGCGGAGCCGCCTGCGCCAAACCCCTCCCCTCGATCACCTACCCGCCACAGCCAACCCCCGTCACTCATGGATCATTCGGTAGGTGTTGTTTTGTGTGGTGTTATCTTTTAGCCATAAATCAACACGACAGGGCTGCCAGAATGTCATTTGGTACTGTACTGAGTTCTTTGGGATGTTGTGCTACCAGTCTTTGCGACATCAAGAGGCGTATTCTAGTCCCGTGTACCTAATGCTCCTCTGCGCACTTATTTCTGGGCGTCGCTGTCCCCCTTCTAAAGTAATGCTATTTTTACAGGCGTCTAGTTTTTTTTAAGGGACATCAAACAAGCCTCTTGCGCTACTTCACCCCCCCAAAAAAAGCAGCTTGTTGACTGCCATGTCCTGGACTAAATGGTCCAATTAGCGCAAAACGATCAATGCCGGCTGCGGTTGTGGTGACTTGCCGAAGTTGAGTCTGCTTTCTGGCTGGGATTTTCTGCTCGAAATAGTTTCGCAAAAATGATGCACGAGTTAAATTGATGACAAGCCTCCCCCACTGGCCCACAAAAGTCCAAAATCGTTTTACGTCAGGAGCAGCAGACTGGTAGTGCGCACAGGCGGTAACCTTTCGGAATGAAGGCGGATCGTTGTTGATTTGGCGTTGTAATTTGTCATTATTTATGGAGGGTGTCTGCTGTGCATCCACTCACAAATGAAGTTGCTCTGTGTTATTCCGCAGTTTCAAGAGTCGACACGCGCCATTTCACGGTCAGGGAAGTTTGAATCGTTCGCCTTACACTGGTGGAAACTCCAGCCAATGATGTTCGGTTGTTTCAATCAATCCGGAAACTGCTGATAGTGCATGGCAAAAAACGCCCAAAATTTGTCTAGTCGAAGGTCCTGCTCGCGCTGAAACAGCGATCATGCGGCCTGGTACTTCCAACTTCTAGAAATTCCCTGCAAGTCGGCCTTCGCATAAGCTTCTAGCTGAGGATTCAGAAGCCGCCCACTTCGATGCTAGGTGCGATGAACTTCTCCAATAACCAAACACGACGTCTAGTTTCTTCTAGTTGCTGGAACAAGTGCAACTTAGTGACATTTAGAAGAGAAGCCGACTGTGATGAGCCCAAACACGTCTTGAAAGGCCTTTTGTAATTGTCGGTTTGGTCCTGCTACGACGGAGACACCACCTACCAGACGGCTAGACCTCAGTTGCGTCTGCCGCCGTGTGCATGCAGCGTCGCGTGTACTTGAAAGCCGCAGTCGTGTGCAGACACGACGTGAATGATGATGATGATGGTCGTTAAGCTTTGGCGTACCGACGAACTAGTTGAAGTGCAAATGTCTGGATGATAAGACATGAGACACTGACTGGCCTGGACTGGACGGCATCGACACGGTGATGTGAAGAAATGTAGTCTGAACATGCGGCGACGGAGGTAATTGCCCTAAAGCTCCTGTTAAGTTTACCTCAAGTTGATTTCTCGAAGTGTACCGCCTGTCCGGATGCTAGCAGCCTTCTTCTCCGAAGTCAGCAGTCTTAATTTCAAACCGTTCAAAGGCGTTGTTTAAATCACCTTCCTCCGCTAGCAGCGAAATCGCACTGATTTGTCGATCTTTTTTTCGAAGTTTGTCCCTCCAAACCAATCGGTACTTGTTTGGGAATTCGGGAACAGGGGAGGTCGTCGTGTTGGCCACGTAAGTGTGTAGTGGGGAAATGCCTTATCCCTGTGAAGATGAGGGGGGCGCTGAGTAATAGCGGTATTAGCAACAGTCGGGCCACATTCATCCACTCGTTGTGCTGCAGCCACACGAATCACTGCAGGTGGCCTCTTTTTATCAATATCACCTCGCTAATTATGGCCAACTGAAGGCCTGTCGAAATTCTGTGGTTCACGGACATAACAGGCGCGCATTTTCACCAAGTTCCCTGTGTCGCACTCGTCATTGTCTACCCTGGCTGGACCCAACTATCCCCAAGGGGTAGATGTCAAGCCGAGTATGTCTACGATTGTCGACGTTACGTCTACAGCTAGGTGGGCTCTTGGCTGTAACTTTGGACACATTCCTTAAACACCGCTGGATGTGTTTGATTAAGTTAAGCATCGGTTTTTCTGGGAACTTCCCGTGTCGATTTGTCTACTACTGCTGCCGCTGCCGCTGCTGCTTCCGCACAAAACACGCCACCAATCTGCTCGATGGTGGAAAAAAAGGCAGTTGTAAAGCTGGGAGGAACTACAAAACAACTTTTTTGGTGCCGTCGGTTACGAAACGGCAGCGCGGCGCTATTTTGTGTTTACTGTAGTGGTGTGTTTTTTTTTGTTTTCGGGTGTGTAGCCTCTACAACGTACCGATATTTATGTGTAGATATATATGTGTGTGTAGCGAAGAGGCGCACGTGCCTAGTGCATAAAAACATCCTCCCTGCAGGTTGAAATCGGTGGAGGCTTGTGGCAGCCGACTTTCGTTTGCTGTGACTTTCTTGCTTTGAGCTACGTCAGTGCGGCCCTTCCGGTCGTCCAGTTGTCGCTACTTTTCCGTATTGACGAGCACAAAAGCAAGTAATGCCTTATTGGCGAATTCGATTTGACCTAAGGTTGACCTTGACACAGGTGATCGAAGTTGCCTCCATCGAATCAAATCTACGACCTTAAAATGAAACATTTCTTGGGTGGTGGTGGTGGTGATGATGGTGATGGTTTTTGCCTGGGCCTCATTTCCTCATGCAATGTTAGCGAGATGTGAATTGCAAAGGTAGATTAGCTGTTGAGAAAGGCACGCTGCAGTTTATCGCAGGAAGTGATTCTGTGTGTGAATTAGTGTACCCACGCGGTTGCTTTTTTTTCTCAAGACATTGTGCCTGTCATAGACGACTAGGTATTGCGTTAATTGCAAATTATTGTGTGTATGGCTTGATCTATGCGGATGTTTTTTTTTTGAGTATAGAATTTTATTTAAAATAGAACAATTTTCACGGTCGTGTGTGGTTTTGAGAGGATCGGATGTGAGGTTTCAGAACACTGAACGACAAGTCACCGTGAGTTACGTAGCCTCTCAGGATGCCAGGGTTTACCACGACGGCAACTGATAAACAGCACTTTCGATGGCACTGCATTTTTTACGAATTCCAACGAGGGAAAAATGGCTGCTTCTAAAGCACGGGGAGATCAAGGTGTGGTACTCATGGTGCTGCCGACGTTGTGTCGTATGGAACGTGTGGATGTTGGTACAAACGTTTTAGAAGTGGTGGTTTCGATCTTAGTGACCAGCCGCGCCCCGGACAGCAGCCTTAAAAGTGTGAAGATGCGGAATCGCAAGTTCTACTGGATGAAGACTGGGCGTAAACGCATTAGGAGCTTCCAGCAGGAGTCACCCAAACAGCGCTTTCACCAC